TGACAAGTGCCCATGTCTTTCATGAAGTAAGATGCTACCTACTTTAGGTGAGAGCTATTATGGTGGCTTATTAATCATCCAAAAAAAAAAAAAAAAAAAAAACCAAGGTGGCTTTGAAATTACTTTGTAAAGAAAAGCCTAAAGAGAGAAGATGAGGTTTGTCACTTTACTTTAGGATGTAGAATGTTCATTTCTAAATGTATGTAATGGCTGTTGAAGTCCAAGTATTGTAAATACTATTGACTACTTTGGTTCAATTAATTGTTACTTTTGTTTTGATAATGGGTAAAATCATACAAGCAATTACAATTTTTCTGTACAAATTTTTTATTCATTCAAGTCCAACTGTTGTCAAAATCGTTTAAAACTTTGGTTCAAGTTATAATTACTTGTGTTTTGATAATGACTAAACTATACAAGTGATTACAACTTTTCTATGCAAATTCTTTATTAATTCAAGATCAAGTATCGTCAATATTAGTGACTACTTTTTTTAAGTAATGACAAATTTTTTTTTGGTAATGACTAAGATGATACAAGCATTTACAACTTTCCTATGCAAATCTTTTTACCTCAAGTCCAATTTTTAAAAATATTAGTAACTACTTTGATTTAAATAATGAAAAATTTTTCTGGTAATAACTAAAATGAAAAAAAGCATTTGTAGCTTCCCTATATAAATTTTTTATTCACTCAAGTCCAAGTGTTATAAATATCAAAGACTACTTTGGTTCAAGTAATGACAACTTTTATTCTAGTAATGACTAAAACGGAACAAGCATTTACAACATCCTTGTGCAAATTTTTTCACTCAAGTCAAAAAATTATAAATATTAATGACTACTTTAGTTCAAATAATGACAACCTTTTATTTTGGTAATAACTAAAACAAAACAAGCATTTACAACATTCCTGTGCAATTTTTTCACTCAAGTCTAAGTATTGTAAATGTCAATGACTACTTTGATTCAATTAATAATTATTTTTGTTCTTGTAATGACTAAAATGAAACAAACAATTATAATGTCCCTATGCAAAGTTTTTACTCAATTTTTTTTCTAAGACTACTTTGATAGAATGGAATAAACAATGACAAGTTTTGCTTTACAAATTGTTATTTATCAATACAGTACAATCCTACAAAGTTGACATCATAAGTAGAAATGGCATACTACTTTAATTAAACAAATAATAACTTTCATCAAATAAGATAACAAGAAAATCTTAAGAAGTGACAACTACTCAAGATTTTGTTGTTAATTACATAAGCTTGTATTATTATACAACACATACATCTTATAATATTCATCAAAATCTCCTTCAACCCTTCTCCCAAAATATATATATATATATATATATGAAGGGTTGAATATATTTCTATACATAAGATGTTTTAACTATATCATATCTACAATTCACAAGTTTGGTAAGTTAGACATTTTGTACCACTTTCATAAGCTACATGTTCAAAATCATGATCTTGGTTACTAACCACTAGGAGAAGGAGAGTTTGAATTTAAAAGTAACTCGAATTACTCTATCCTGCATTCAAAATCTATCCAACTTCATTAGTCATTTACATTGACAATCCCAATGTTAATTACTAAAATAATAACTATCTTCTAGCAAATGACAACTTACGCTGTTGCATTAACACACAATAACTTCCAGCATTTTACTCTAATAGGATAGTAGTTCCATCATTATCAACAAAGTCTATAAGAGTTCCTTTATCAAAAGCTCGCAATTTTTTTCATGCCACTCCAATTAGGGTCAATGCCAGAACAAGATAATGCCATCTATCATTTAGCTATACTGTACACAGACTCACTGCCACTTAGCGATACTCACACGACTCAACTGTGCCCATGAGAATCAATGTGTATTCATGCGACTTAGCGTAAATCGATGGAATCCAATGTATAGCAATGCAACTCAAATGTTTATGATTACAACATTGGGAAAATGACAACCTCAACCACTTATTAAGTAGCAACTTCTTCTCGCCGAAGAATCTTTCTAAAACATGAAAGCTTAGTTTTCAATGCCATGCATCCCGAAGCAAAAATCAACATAAGAGCAGAGGGAATTTACAAATGCAAGAACATCAACATAAGAGCAGAAGAAACATACAAATGCGGCCTAATAGGGGGAATATTTTAGCCAAATGGTAGCTTGCTAGTCTGCCCTATGGAAAGCTTTAGAAGCTGAAAATAGTTGCATGGGAGACGAAGAGATGAAGAAGAGAATGCGGGAAATGTGTCCTGTAGACCATCCCTCCTTTATTTTCTATAAGGGTAAAAATTTATTTTCTTTAAAATTTGATGGCTAATAAGTCTCAGGGACTTGAGGGGAATTAAAGGATTTTGTGGAACCTTATTCTCATTTGCATTTTTTTAATGGGATTTTTCTGTCATTTTCCCAAAGAAGAATAGCACTACTTGCAAAAAAAGAAAGATGAATAATATTACCTATAATCCATTGTCAATATAGCATCTTTGCACTTTGAATGTTTTGTATTGAATTGATATACTTTTTGTTATGTATAATAATCATTCAAGTTCAGTTTTTAATAGGATTTATGAGATCAATAGATTTAAATTTTTGACATATGAAACAATTTTGTTTAAAATAGTAATGACATGTAACAAACTAAGAATTATCCGAGTGCCATATTTTCTCTAGAGCTCTTTATATATAAGAATGAAAGAAAGTGAGGGCCCTTTTGATTGTGTTTCCATTTTTTTTTATTGTAAAACTGTTTTGTAATACAATTTTTAAAATTATTTTTAAAAACAAAACAAAAACAAGATATATTTGACTATGTTAGTTTAAAAACAGTTTTAGAATAAAATAGTTAATAGTGATGGTTGCTAATAATTAATGATGATCACTTATGAAGTGATTGATCAATGTGAATATAGTTTAAAAATATAAAGAATATAAATAATGGTCATTAATGATGGTCGCTTATCACTGTTTTATTATATTATTTTATTTTAAAGAATATAAATTACTAGAACAGTATAAACTTTGTTGATAGACCTTCACCTATATCCAATCCCTAATCTTGCCCTGTTGATGGTAAATTTTTCTTAATGTTATGGTTGTTGTATGCTTGATTGATGATTTGCAAAACGTATCAAAGGAATAGTTATGTAGATTGAATTTTTGTCATTTTTTAAGTTGTTATTAGAAGGAAGTAAGAACTTTTCCGTGCGATGCACAAGGGTAAGAATCTAGTTAACACCTGTTTGTGAAAGATATTTCCCTTTTGAATCAGTTATTAAAATTTCTTATACTAACTTAAAACTAAATAATATGATTATTTGAATTTTCAATATTTTTTGTAGTATAATTTATTACATTGGGTTTGTATTGTATAATAAAAAAGCATACCAGAAAATAGTAATGAGCTTCATTCTGGCAGCTAGACTAGAAACATTAAAAAAAAAAAAAAAGTCCATTTATTCAATAACTATTGTTGTTTTCAACCAAACTCCTTTTTCATTGAATGGATTATCTGATATTGTAGGCATAACTGCTAAATCAAAGGTTGTCATTTGAACATTTGATATTGGAGTTGCAACAGGTTAAAGGCAATGAACCAACTGTTTTTAGTTTATTTCATAGTTGGACCATTGTTTCGAAAAAACTATGTTGACAAGTAACTAAATGTGAGCTCTATGTATTTGTTTACAAAGAGCCTAATATGAAAATTATTTATGATCTATGGAGGGCAAACGTACTTTTCATCCCCCCCCCCTTCTCTTTTTGAGGAGAAAGTTTTGGTGAGTTATATCTTGATAATTAATCAAAGTCAAGATAGGTCTCAAGTTTAAAAAATAGTTACAAAGATACTTGTGGATTACTCACTAACACAATTTTTATATAGGCAATGAAATTGGACCCCAAATCCTTGTAAGATGCAAGTAGTACTATTGTTACCTATACTAATTGTCGTTAGCATCCATACTTTTTATATGATACTCCCTCCATTTCAAATTATAAAATAATTTTGAAGGAATTTTTTATCTAAAAATATAAGACAATTTGAAAAAAATAAAATTTTATTGATGATACTTTTTTAATATTACCCTTCAAGTGGAGAGAAAATTAAAATGATATTTTAGCTTAATGACTAAGTGTGTAAGGACAATTTTTAAAGTTTATAATTTTATTTTGAAAAAGTATGTTTGTAAAGTGTCATTATTATGTTTTATTAATATGTGTAATTTTATCTCAAATTATCTTATAATTTGGGTTAAAGGGAGTATATTAATATTGATATATTGATTTTCACATGCACCATTCATTACTCACAAAGAACATTAAGCTATACTCCTCCCTCCAGACTATAATATAAGTCATTGTTGACTAATTTATGTTTCTAAAAAAGTTGGTTTAAATCTTAATTTTCTAAAAATTCCACATTTTTTTAATCATACCCTTGAATAAATAAATATAATATTTGACTTATTCAAAACACCCTCATTAATTACTAAATATAGTAAAAGTGTAATTGAAATATATGTATATAATATATATATATAACACTATCTAATGCCTATATTATATTTTGAAATAAGCAAAGCTTCTAGAAAATCCTTTAGGGAGTACTTGCCCTTTCACAATGGCAAGTCAAGCTACGTGGCAAAGGGTTCTTAGTTCAGTTCATGTTGACGACTTTCTATAGGGAAACATCCCCTAATTGCAGAACATCCTTCTTTTAACTTACTGGCTCACGCGCGCGCACAATCTGATTCCATACTAATTTCCATATTTTATTACAGTTCTTGGAATATGAATAATATTATTATTAGACAAGCCAGTGTTTCAAGTTGTTCAGAAAGGAGAATCTTTCCCGCTGTCACACCCATATTAACAACTCAGATAACATCATCAGATCGTTGTTTCTCACTCGGCCTTCTAAAATATGAGGAAAGATTAAAACAATATTAAAATATATATATATATATATTATATATAACACTAAGAAGTTGGGCACAATGGTAACAAAAGTTTTTCCATCAATAAAGCTGCCAAAACATACCCTGTATTATCAATGCACACTGTTCTACACATTCTTATATACCACGTTGAACCTTGCAGGCAATGTATATATAGTATGTAATCATGCATAGTACATTGTAAAATGTTATGTATACAAAGCATGCAATCTATGACACAACCTCCTTCCTAATTTAAATGTATACACTATTTTTTCAGTTTTGAGATGAACCTGACTTTTTGACTGTGATAGTAGCTTCTGCAGCTTGCTAAATAGTTTTGTTTGCTTCTATGCCTCTCCGAAACAGCATTGCATGACTCACTTCAATTGGAGCTCGCAATGATAAATGATGATATTGTGAGCATCTATGATGCCTCCCAAAGCTTATAATCTCTTCCCTCACCAGCCAAGGACCATCCTCCTAAGGATCTCTTAGGGGGTTCAAAATGACCAGGTCCAATCTTCATAGCGAGCTTTCCATCAATGACAGCTGCATAGACGTCCGTTTCTGCTGCAAGAATTTTAACCTTTAACAAGAAGAAAGAAGAAACTATTAGCAATCAATTTTAACCCAAGACTTGCAAATTAAGTTGTTTGACAAGCTCAGAAGAAAATATCTTATCCATCCAATCCAGAAAATATCCACATGTATGTTACTGTTGAGTAATAAAGGCAATAATATGATGCTCACTGTGCTTCTACAGTGTATGTTGTTCCGTTTCCTGAGAGAGATAAGTGATCCTATTTCAGCCCTGTAGTGGGAGAAAATGTGGTCAAAGAACACAGATGGTGTTCCCGGGTGAGTAAGAATGTAAGCATATCCTTGCATTTCTTTTCCACTCGGAAATCTCCAATGACCCTACCAGAGAAAAGAATGTGAAATCAATTATATATATTAGGTAGACATTTCTTTTACCATATCATAACAGCACAGTGATATGGCAATTGCTGCAAGAGGGAACTTATATAAAATCTTTAAAAATTACGCAAATAAATATCCTCATGGTGATATATAAATCTACACCACAAAAAACAATGTCTGGGAAAAGATGTCTTTGCAAGTTCAAACCTGCGTAGAACCAGTGTCATGATTTTCTATGAAGGTAACTGCACGAGATGGCCACCATCCAATGACACCAGGGGGCTTTCCTTTCGGATCTGACAAACGCCAATATTCACATCTTTCCAGTGCCTATGGGGAGCGGAATTTAAAGAAGGCACTGTCATGACACCTTATTTTTAATAACTAACAGGCAGACTAGGGGAAAGGAATTTTATTTTAATAGCATCCATATTTTTTTCATATTTTTTTCATTCTTTCTGTGTAGCCTCCTTTATAGAGGTCCTACTTTCAAGATAGGAGTAAGTGTTTTTTTTTTCTTTTTATCTTTGATAAATGGAAATGCAACTACAGAGGCCTTCTACATAATAAATTATTCATAAAGATTATAATTTATAACTATTATATCCTATTTTAAGATATTTAGAAAAATATTTGTTATTTTTAGCATTTAAATGTACTTTTACTTTTTTTATTAGTTTATATTAATCTTCATATTTTTATTTAATTATTTTGTCACCAGTTTAATTGCTAATCCAACCAGTTGACTAGTAAAAATCTGAACCTGCTAACTTCTCCAATTCGATGTTTGATCTGGCTTTTAAAACATTTATATGTCTTAAAAGGTATTTTACAGAGTTTGTAAATCTAGAAAAATTTAATGAAATTATCTGAGTGAGTTCTTACTGAGTGAAGAATCCCTTTTGTTGTAACATCAAAAGCACCAGCGGTGCCATTGGTGGCATTGATCCAGTCAACGGTCCTCTGCCTGTGCTCATCTTGATTATGATCCATCTCACCATAGCTATAACTCAGGGAATCCCAGTACTCTCCCACGGCAAAGCAAGGTTCACTTGCTTCCATGTAATCCTTTACATAACCACCCCAAAATCCTCTGGCAAAGTCAAGCCTCCATCCATCATACCCAATTTCTTCCCTGATGATCACACATTGTGAGCAAAAAGATAGAACAAATCAACTCTTCTACAACACCTTAGTATACATGACCATAAAGTTAAACGTATAGTTTCTGCTAAACAAAAACATCACATGCAACAAGAGGAAAGACAAAGGAATGGAAGATGAGCAAATCAACTAAGTCTACATATGCAGCAAGGTAAAAATGATTTCAGAGTATGAGTTGGTACATATAAGAAACAGACTACTGCAAAGCATGTATATGGTAGAGATATTCAACTTGACTTTTAAAGAACCGACATTGTTAATATATTTAGTGGCTCAATGCTCACGGACAAAACATGTTTACCATAAACCACTTGGTTTTTTTCCCCCCAGTTATCACTTGAATACCAATAGCCTACGTACATAGAACGTTCATAGAATTTGTTGACTCCAGCTGGCAAAGACTTAGAAAAGTGATATAAAAGATAAATAATGTTTGAACTAAATTTAAGTTGCCAACATTTATATAAGAAGTGGAATCTGAAGGGGTATTCTGACATAAAGAACTGAAATAAGGAAAAGAGCAGCCATAAATCTGTAAGTATTCAAGTCATCTTCATACCAAATAAACATTGACGCTACAGCTACAATACATATAACGACGGACATCCCATCAGATGCCTGAGTCACATCTAGACACCCACAGATCACGGTGGCAATTTATTGTCTAAGATGTTGAAAATGAAATCTTACATGAAACTAGGAACACCTTCAATTAAATAAATCACATTGTCATCATATCCTATCAACAGCAACAATCAGGTCTGAAATATCAAGTTTCCAACTGAAATTTTCAATAAAATCTAGATCATCCTAACCTCATATTTAATACCAGATTGTCATAGTTCTCCAGCACAATTAACAATGAAACTGTTGGACTGTAAATAAATATGGTAAGAATTTATATTCTACCAAAGAACTAATTGAAAACATTTTTCCCTTAAACGTTATACTTGTTCCGTGATAAAGGAAAATAAATTGGCCAAGAACTATGATAGAAAAAAAATTAAGGTCTATAATGTCTACCTCAACCAACATAACCATTCTTTCAGATCATTTCTCACAAATTCCTGTGAATGGTCAATGTTTGGAGCTGCATGGAAATTATCGCCACTACTCTTGTTGCCCCTACCTGTATGAGAGAGGATATCCATTATGTATTACATTTTCATCCAGAAAAATTACAGTTTTAAGGTATTCGTAGTAAAAAGTAATTCAAAGAACAAAGCATGCATATCATATCTAAAAAATAAAAGCGCTTCCAAATTCTTTACTTCTGTGAAACTATATTTGTCACTTAATCAGAAATTTCAATGGGAGTAAATCAAAATTTCCATTGCATAGTAAGCATGAGACTTATGTTCATGAAACCTAGTCATCAGACCTATTCTATTCAAATTTTATAGCAGCTAAATGAACTTGTTTCCTTTATTCCTAGAAAACTAAAGATTTGAAGTGCAGTAAGGTAACAAGTAATTGCAGAAAATCACCAAAAAAAGAAACAAAAAGAAAAAGAACAACTTATTGCAGAACATGACAAGCAGAGGCAAATACGCTACTCGCTTTATTCAGGATAAGGCACAATTACATAATGCTCAATGCAATAAATGGCAAGAGATAATTTAAGTACCTAAAACGTTCAGTACTTTCTATTGTCTCTTACAATGATGGAAGTTT